CGGGTCCCGATGGGAACAAGATGTGATTGATGAGCACGCGATTTGTAAATAATGGTATCTAAGAATAGAGGGAATGATCAATTCGGGACACCGAATTTCTGGCGAACGGCTATTCCGCTTAGCTAGACCTAAAATCCCTATGAGAGTAGCATAATCTATTAAAGTTATTTTGTAATGAAATGATATTTACTTCATCATTTTATCGCATTTCGGAATCATTTTATCACATTTCATCACACATCATCAGATTACTTATATTTTGATGAACTCGGTAAAACAATTGATATGATACTTATTTAAAATAAAAAATATAAAATTAGGTTCCAGAAATTTATTTTAAAATATAAGTAAGGAGTATACAGCTACATACGCAAGATGTTTGTGTATGTTTTTGCACAAGTATATATTTGAAATATATTTGAAATTTGTTTGAATTTAAAAAGAATTAATGGTGCTACTTGAACAAAACTATCAAATTGTTTCTTTTGGCGTAAAATATCTATGTACATAAATATTTCCAATGACTTAGCCTTAAAAAGTATAGAAAAAAAATTAATACGTAATAATACAACAATAGCATTAAATAAGTTTTTAAAACAGTTTCAATTGTTCTAAATTCTACATTTCTTAAATTCATGAATTAATTTTCAAATAATCTTTGGTTTGCTTATAGTAAATCTCTTCTCTCTCTTATTTTAGCCAACTGCGTAATAAAAGGTTTAGAAAATGACATTTTTAAAACAATGACCATTTCCATTCCATTTTATTATCGCTATGTTGACAATATTATATTAGCAGCTAAAAAAAAATCAAATTGAAATAATTCTATGCACGTTCAACTCTTACCATGAAAAAATATAATTCACTGTTGAATATAGCGATGATGGAGAAATTAATTTCCTTGACATTAAACTATTGATAATGGAACGATTATTTTTGACAATTATAAAAAAAAAAACCTACAAATTCAGGTAGGTATTTGAACTTTAATTCAAATCATTCGATTGAACAAAAGAAAAGCATCGGATAGCTAGACAGAATTTTATTCCATGCACATCCAAAATTACACGAAAGAAATATTTCTTTCTTAATCAACATTTTTTTAAATAATAGATATCCATTGGAATTCTTTTTTTCCACGATCAATAACAGAATAAAAAAGTCACTTAAAAATAATTTCAATAACAAAATTCATAATGATGTTTCCATTTTTCATTCCATAGAAAATAGAAAGTTTTTTACTATCCCATACTTTTAAAATGTTTTAGAAAAATTTAAAATTATAACACACAAATTCAACTTTAAAATTGCTTATAAACCTATGAATTTTCTAAACTTTTTCATAAAAACTGAAAAATAAAAAAAGAAGATCGTTCAAATGTTATCGTTACTCGTAACGAAGTTACAGTTACAAGTTATTTTTTTGATAACTTTATTGATAACTGCATTACTTTTTTCCTTGGTAATTATAACGATAATGAATTTTACAGTTACTTTTATTGTTATTTTGCACACGAAAATTGGACATGATACGACACAAACCACTCACATTGTAAAAAAATTTCGCAAAATTACATATATAATAGATGTAAAAATTACATGATTAGTCCTGTAAATATAAAAAAATCGTGCAATTTTACAGAAATTATATAATTTCACAAAAATTATATAAATTTGCTTACATTGTGTAAATATATCTTATTTTATATGGAAAATTACGTAAATAGGATATTTTGAATATTTTCTGTAATTATTCAAATTTTAGTAATATTACGTAATATAATAATAATTTTTCGCGTATTGCTGTTAAATGTATAATATATAATGCAAACTACATTGTCATATCGTTCCTATAACTACATATACACATTGCAATTGTATTTCCACAATCTTAGTTACAAATCAAGAAATTATTTTTGTTTGCATATTGCAAATTTACAAACACGTGATCGTTTACATCTATTATAGTGGGTCTCTAAATTACTCACTATAATAGTTGTAATTTTACACAAAAATTTTTTACAATGCATAGCGCTTGAGACTAGAAAATCCCTAGACTCGTCTGCTATAATTAGCAATCGTCGATTTTAAAAAAGTAATAAAAAAGTAATGAAAAATTACTTTCTCAGGTAACGATAATAACAATGAGTTTTAAAATCTTTTAAAAATCGGTAATAACAGTAGCTTGTTATTTTTTTTTACTCGATAATCAATAACTGTAATTTGTTACTTTTAAAAAATACCCTGGTAGAAATTTGTGCAGTTTGACTGAGCATCCAGTCAGTTACTATCTAGTACTATCTATTACTGATTTCTCTTACAAATACAAAAATACTGCGTAGCAACTGGGCAAAATTAGTTAAAGCAGTTTTACTAGGCAATATATGGATCAATTCTTTACAAGAAATTTTGTATCAATACTAAAAAAAGTAATTTTAAATGAAGAAAGATTGCATGAAGTACCTTCAATTCAGAGCCTAATAAAGACATATGCATTCTAGTATACACAGCTTAACCTTTGGTTATTTGTGTATTATTTCTATCATTGTTTCCTCCAATTGTGCAAGAAGCAATTATTTCGTATATATAATTTATATTACAGTTTTTATCTATTTATTGTTCTCTTACTACTTAATAACTGTATTCAGATTTTGCACTTCTTTATTGTGCAGTAACTGTGAAAAAAGCGTTACATCGTAATTGATATTCTGAATTTTGCTATTCAATTACTAGACAAAAATTAGAATTGTCCAATAATCAATCATAAACTGCATTAAATTTCTTACCAGGATAACTTTCCACTCCAAACTATAAAAGAATGGTATCAGAGATTATACACATAAAGAAACAAACATCTAGATTAAATAAACAAAGTAATATATTATGTTTTCCTGACATCTTTTTGCCTATAATTAAAAATTAGTTCCCCTTCACTACTACATCACTTCCTCTTAGTATTCTTCTCTCGCCTTTCCCTCTATATATATATATATATATAAAAAAATAATTTATTAATAAATTTATTAATAAAGATAACTTATTCTATATAAAATTGTTTGTTAAAATCTGGTAATCCCGTGTTATTATTATATAGCGATAAAGAAATAATAATTAATAAGAAGATCTCAATCAATGAAGATCGAGAAAACAGAATAAATTTTCGGATTTTATGTTCACTTCTACATCTCAAATAGTAATAGTTTTTATTACGTAACATTTCGCATTCTCTTAGTGATGATCTTACTGATGATGGTCAAAACTTGACCGAAACGTTTACATTTTTAATTTTAATTTTAAATATATGACTTGTGCAAAAAACATCTTGCGTATCTTGCTCCTTCTTATTTATGTTTATATTATTGAGTCATCTCTAAGAATTTTATTTTATTGTTTTATTAAAAATATTAAATAGGGATCAGTAAAAAATTGATACGACTTATTTAAAATATTAAATAAAAAATAGATCAGAAGAAATTATTTAAAATAATAAGTACTAATTAACTTTTTTACTTCTTTTTATTTAAAATATATATTCTAAATAATTTTATTTGAAATATGATCCAGGTATAAAATTTATATTTTAATGAAAAGATTAATTCTTATGATAATAGAAAAATATATTAAATTAACAAATAAATTAATAAATATTTGAATAGTATTAACCGAATATTTACTAAATGTAAATATATTTATTTACAAGAAACTATCATTTTTACTGACTTTTTACTGATTAAAAGATACATTGTGATGCAATAATAGAAAAATGTAAATTTTAATAAATAAATAAAATTTATTGTGGAATAGTACTAGCTAAATATTAAATGTAAACACATTTGGTTTATGACATCTGAAATCTTAAGATTGTACTTAAAACGGTTTTAAATATAAGAACGGACTATGAATACCGACCCTGATATAGAAACTTTAGTTAGACCCTCATCGCGATCACAAGTTCTCCTTTGATCCTCGCGTGAAATATAATATAATATTCCGCCGTGACATGTCGTAATCAAAAAGCTTGATAATCGCAATTGCATAGGCGCCGCCAGGTTGATCGATCGATCGCATCACAATCCGACACCCGTCATTATTGGTTATTGCCAATCATCAGCTCCGAAACGCATTATCGCGTATATCATTCATGATACGAGAGCCCTCTTTTTTTCGTCGCAATTTTTCTCTCCTTTTCTCTCTTACGCGTGATTTTTTCGTCGCCACGATTGCGTCAGGTCGAAGTATGATGTTGCGTGAATACACCGAAGAGAGCGGAAGATAAATTAATCCACATCTCTTCTCCACCGTTTTGACCGTCGAGAAATTAACCCATGCTTGTCATCGGTACGAAATAATACTTTCGTTCACTAAAGTTACAACGTAAAAAAATCTTTGAAAATGTGTCATGTAGATTATTTCCAATGAACTAACTTTATATATCATTACATCAATTTTTAAAATTTAAATAATTTTTTAACAATTCGCTTTAAAAAATTATGTTACATTTACAATTTTTGCTATTTCGTAAGTTAGTTTATAATTATTTCATTGTATTCATTTTATATACAATCCAAGGCTAAAAGTTTGACAATTATTTTAAAACACTTAAAAAATTGACATTTTTGAGATTACTTATTCAAATATCCATTTTTTAAATAATAATTCTTTAGATTCAATAGATTCAATAAAAATTTTGATTGAAAATGAACGAATCAAAAAATTCTAACTGATTATGAATTCTAGTTATTTCAAAAACTAAAATTATAAATTCAGAAAATTCTGATTTGTCCATTTTAACCAGAATCCCAATTGATGCACAACAGACTCTTTTTTCAGTGCACAAAGAAAAAAATAACCGCACGGATATAGAAACAAGTCGAATGTATAATTTCAAAATTATAAAAAATAAATCGAAATCCTCGATTAGCAATAAAAAAAATTCACGTGATGCATGTAAAAACAAAAGCCTCCCTTCTCGCTTTCTCTTTCTTTCTCTTTCTCTTTGCCTAGCCATGTTACTGTCCGGAAATGTCGTAATATTGCCTCACGATATTGTAACGTCGTAATATCTATCACGAATGGATATCGTAATTGCGCCGAGTTGTGAAAAACGCGATCATTCAGCCTCGTCAACGGACAACGGCGGCGAAGAATGCCGGGGCGGAATCGAGATAAAGAGCCCGCGGTCTCTCGCGCGAGAAGTAAAGGCGGTGGAAACGAAGGAGGAGAAGATGAGAAGGAGGAAAGAGATAAAGGAGGACACGAGGGTGAGAGAGGAGACGATTGTCTGGAGCCAAGCTGGCTAACGCGAGAAGGGGCTCGCCGTCGTCGCAGCCATGGTTCAACTGAACCATGTTTGCGGAGAGGAAGAGGTTCCCCTCGCGATTAGAGGTGGGGACGTCAGAGTGCTTATAAGACACGATGATCCCACTGCAAGAGACCGAGAATCGATAGTTTGCAAAAGCGCGGGGCAAGTGAGATCATTCAAGAAGCACGAAAAGGCGAACAGAGGAGAGAGAGAGAGAGAGAGAGAGAGAGAGATACATATATATATATAT